GAAGTGGGTAGCTCGCGGGAAGAGGGAAAGAGCAAGCAAGGAGACAGGAGGATGGGAGAATTCCAGGAGAAGGGCTAAAGTTGTGCAACTTGCACTTCACTGCATGCTTACACAAGCCAGACAAGGAAGTAGTTTGACTAGGCCAAATTTTGTATTCGTTCGTGTTCGATGCCTGGATATTACAATTCCTGGGTACGGGGCTCTGGGAGGATTGATCCTCTCTGTGTTCGCTTCCATCTTTACGACCCTTAAATGAAGATTTTATTGTTTCCTGGTCTTCGGCTGCATATGATGGGTACTTCAACTTTCAGAAATAGACACAGACAAGCATCACACACAGAGTTTGGTATCGCCAAATTATGTTTTGCTTGTCTTGTTCAAACACGTAGTGATATGCAAGTTGCACAACTTTAGCCTTTCTCCAGAATTTCTCCCGCCCGTGCTTCCTTGCTTGCTCTCCTGTTTCCGCGAGCTTCATTCGGTCCAACAAGCATTGGAAATGAACTACTGAGCTGCACAGGATGGTGAATACTGTTATATATATATATATATATATATATATATGTATATATTTATATCTATATATATATATGTAAATATATATTCTGTACATATATATAACATATATATGTACAGAGTCATACTAAAAAGTTGAATGAACGGGACTGTTTCGGCCCATCAAGCCGTAGGCATTCCCACTCAGCATTACAACTGGATCTCGTCATTATGACGATTGTGGTGTTGAGTGCTAAGGATAACCCCGGTGAGGGAAGGGTTATGAAATAGGGGCATGGGCAACCTGCCAGAGCAATCACTCTTCTAGTCCCTCATTTAGATATAAACAAGCGATCAACTTCATAAGTAGCGAGCAATTCATGCGGACTAGATCTCACATGATCACCCTTGTCACTGCTGGTGAGGGTCGCGTGAACAACAAATCTACTAGCGGGCCAGTATGGCACCAAATCATGACATCTGCCGAATTGCTCACACAAACACCGATAGCGCAGACTGGACGGCTTTGGCGAGGAGTATGGTTGCCACGGGTGTGTTCTGAAGGGCTGGTAATTTTGGTAAAGCATCCAACTAGATGTGCAATCACAAATTCACAAACACCGGCAAAAGTATATGCTCACTTTGGCATCCGATTCTAACAATTTCTGGAGTCGGTGTCAGCTTCACTTTTCATCTTGACGATTGTTTCTTTGATCGTGTTTTGATTATTCTCAGCACTGTTAAGCAATCTCCACTGCTTTTCGCACTTTGAGAGGACATTGAAATTGAAAGTGAAAAACAAGGAATTGAACTGAGGTCTGATTTGCTTTTCGCCATTCGTACACTCTCATCTTCTTGTTTTTAAAACGGCTAACTGCTCCAGCCTTTTTTCGAAAAATTGCTTTTTTTTGTATTTTGCAGCCAATTATTCATGTTGCCCAAAGGAACGCAAGAAAAAACCCCAGGAAATTGCCAAAATTGCGCTGAAAAGCAAAATCAGCAGAGAGCGTTAAGTCTTGAGGACGAAATGCGCGAAAAAATAGTGGCACAAGACATAAGTGAACTGCAGCTCTGGCGAAGAGCTTCATTTCCAAGGCACGGATCACACTTCTGGCTACTGTGCTACGTGTCCTATCAGCAGCTGGTGAGCATCGAAACACAACAGTTCCCGAACTCAACACAACAGTTCGAAGCTTCGGCATTCTTCTGCTTTTCTTCGTCTGTCTTTGTTTTCGGCCCTGAAACATTTTCCGGATACAAAAGTAGCACACAAAAATCAAAATTTTACTTCTGGCGAAAGACGAGGTACTAGGAAGCCGCCCAAGTGATAGAAAGTGGATAAAATAATTTTGTTGAAAAAAAAAAAAAACGCATTGACAAGTACCGTTGTTGTTGTGCAAAGATAGGATTTGACTCCGCTACCAGAACAATCAGTTCCTCTACGATTTATTCATACGTTTCGATGGTAATTTGATATAAACCGTCATCAACTTGCTTTTAAAGAAACACTTAAAAAGGGAGTTGTAGACAGCCTTGCCAGGAACTGATTGTTGCTGGCTTTACTATCACTCGAACTATTTTCGAGTGCCTCTGCCTTTCTTAAACAGCGGATACGGAGAGGGCGAAATGTCTCTTTGGTAATGGTATAGAAAGAGCTCTGAAATTCCTGCTCCTCGGATCAGTGTTTTGTTTCATAGCATTGTTCTGGTAGTGCATAGCATTTTATTTAGATCATTCAAGGACAAACATATACCTTTGTCAAATGATCGTCAAAAAGTTCGCTAATAAAACTAACCTTCAGAAAAAACTTTCGGCTTGTTAGCTTCGAGAGATGGTCGTATAGGCAGCGGCTGTTCTTTGACTACGGTTTGATTAGTCTCCGCAGAACCTTGCAGCTGAAAGTTCCCGGATTAAACAAAGCGCATTACAGGCCTCGCACTGGGTTGTTCTAGACGTCGGAATATGCAGGCGAATGGATACACAGAGAAACTGACTGTCCTAAGTGGGGAACTGGAATCAAGATAGCCACAAATAAGTAAAAGTTCCTTTAGTTTGGGGAGCCGGACTCTAACACTCTATGTTCTATTATTTTAATTGTCGCCGTGATTGTTACCAATTATTGCTGTTATTATTACTGTGATTATTATTAATCATTATTTTATCTGGAATTAGGTTTGTCACTTTGTAACCAAACAAACAATCGTCCTCTTCTTCATACCAGTTACGTGCAAAATATCACTGAGACCATGCAAAAAAGTAAAATCCAATACCAAACTGCAAGTTTGTTTTTTTTGGTTTTTGCATTAAGAATCTGCCTAAATTTTAACTGAGGTCAAAAACTAGGACACAGGATTATCAAAAAGTGGGTTTTTAGCTTCTCGGTTTTGTTCCTATCGCTGAAAAAACTAACCTCATTGTGAAGTTTAGCTGCTATTGGGTGATCCGTGAAAGATGTTTCAGCTGTGCCATAGGCAATAGTACTCGGTGATGCATTCGTAGCCATCATTCCATGCGTATCTACAACGAGGATCTACCTCAGTAACAAAACTAGCAGTGCGACCATAACAAACAGGAATATTATCGCAGAAGCGAAGCTTTCACCATTATTCCATCTTGGAGCTAAAAGATGTCGCCTTGGAAGCTAATAACCATTATAAAATTATGCTACTGCTGACCTTTGGCGAGAACAGTTGTTGCTCCTCAACAGCGGAGTTAAAAGTCGATACACAGGTCACCTTTGCCGCTGCGGTTACAGCCATTGCAGGAACCGTTGCTGCAACTACAACTCGGCTCGGATCAGCGGGATCGGGAAGCGAGTTGCGACAGTTGGGGAACAGAGATAGGGCGCTGGAGGTGGGGTAGAGGGCTAACGACGCAGGATAGTAATTTAGATCTTGGGAGTCGTAATGGGGAAGGGAGAGGGATTAATGACTGGGAAAGAGCTAAGGTCCTTAATCTTGATTGGAGGTAGGAATTGGAAACAGGGATGGGATTTTTAGGGAATTGTCTATTTATAGTCAGTACAAAGCGCTAAAGATAGTGAGCAATCTTAGACGCGAAAGCTAGAACATTATCTAGACAAAAAACCCGGTACATGATTTTCTTTTCTCGAACCCCAACCCAAAAATGAGTGCATATTAAGATTTAGACCATCATTCCTGACTTTATCTCCCCCTGCCTCTTAGCGAGTCTTGAAAAATCAGTTTCAGCAACTATTGTCTTAAATGGCTGGTATTGAAATTCTGAAATACATGCAACAAATGTGTAAAAAAACAGCTTAGCAAGAGATTAAAGAAAAAGAATTCAAAACGCTCTTCCTATTTCATTAATCAAAAGAAGTAAAGCATTTCGAAGTAGTCTTGCTGGTACAATACTATTAACAGCAACTAGTGCTGTCAATGTTATTGATGGTAGCGGATACCAGCAGATCATCGGCAATTCGCAGCACAACGGAAATGATTGAAAACAAGGAAATGATGAGAACGTGTGGGTGCCTCAGAGTTTCATGCATGATGAGGATGTTTGCCCAGCTGCTTGTTTAACTCAAAACTAAAATATTAAACAGAAATATGAGCACTGTAATGAAACAGCAAACTCTGACCCGAGATCTACTATCCCGGCATAACGATTTAGTAGCAAGGTGAAGCGATACAATTTTTCGTCGTATTTTGAAAGAATCATTGGCGGCGCGCACCGTGTGGGCCAGTGCGATCATGCGTTTTTGCAGTATTTCATGCTGTAATGAGATCGCTCGAAAACCTGGTAGCTAGGATTTGCGACATACTGGTCCTCGAAGTTCG